AAGAAGATTTGATGTGAAGGTTCGAAGGTAGGCGCATGATCACTGCAGAACTAAAGTTCCTCCATATATCAGGGTTTTATAGAGCGCAGCAATCCTCGTACTTTTGTCTGTTACATTTTTTTTAACAAATTGAATTAGAACAACAAAATATAAAGAAAATTGAAGCAATTGAATTTAACTCTTGATTAGTTTATTCAATTACCCATCACTGTGTGCACACGACAGGTTACAGTGAGATGGTAGTGACTTCAACATTATGGAGCTTTAACGAGAAAATTCGACGGAAGGATGACGAAATCGAAAGAACGTTCTCTATCGTAGCGGTGCGATAAGGATTCATACCTTAGGAAAATATCGTTTTCAAACAGAAGTAAAGCAGAAGTATTCAGGAAAATAATGCTTTGCTCGTTATTCTGCTTGATTTTTATGATTACCCTTCGTTATTATGATCCACTATTGCTACTTATTTATTGCTATTTGTTTATTAGAACAGGCAGTGTGAATAATCCCAGCACAATTCACACTCCTACGCCTATTCAATAAAGTTCAAGGTATTACCAGATGGTCAAATGAGCAATTTAAAAAAAAGTTGGGTTACCCAAGAAAGAACGAATGATCGTCGGCGGAGTCATAAAAGTCGAGGAAAACGGTTGGCAATGAGATTCATAACCATATGACGCTGGACTGTCACCAACTGGTAATTGAAGAATCGCCCGAACAAATGACCTTGTCGTCAGTAGCAGCCATCTCATACAGGAAAGCATGAATAGGGATAAATCAAACGGAAAGCGATATGAAAGTTCAAATAGATCGTATTGTTGGCTTAATTGAAAGTAAAACGCTAGAAATTTCATGGGGAAGGGGAAGCCGAGCGATTCTTTGAAGCAAAAAAAAGGTAGAGGGAAGCGGCATTTCATTTGGGAACATAGTTTGCTCTGAAAAGAGATCTACATACATGTATGCCGCCGTCCTTTCCCTACCACAGAACCCATCTAACAACAATTCCATGTCTTATAATCCCATAAACCCCAGCTCTCAACATGGATTTAATATAATACAGTTGCTTTTTCATTAGTTGGCCACTATGAAAGACTTGATTAACACGGCTGGGGAAACAATAACAAAACAAAACAATGAACAACAATACGCAATACAGTGCTGGCAAAACCAAAACAAAGAAAAACTTCCTGCAGGAACACGCCACTAGCCTTATATCCCAGTGGTAGCTCTACCTTATCATCCGAAATGGAGCGAAGAGTTCATTTAACATAAGATTAAACCCTCAATTAAGCCCTATAAACCAGGTCTGTCAAACAAGGCTTGCCAGGTTTATGTTCAGCTTTTATAGACGCCGGTGGATTCGCACTTTGATTGAAGAAAGAGTTTATAGAACAGGTTAAGGAGAGGGTCATAAAAGAGAGAGAATGGACACGTGGGTTCCGTGGGTGAAAAAGTATGCAAATAGTCCATCATGTCAAACCAGATAACTACCAAAATTGTTCAGCGCCACAAACTATATTACATGAATAAAAATTCCGAATGAAACAGCTTTTCACCACTAATCTAGTGGGAACGAAAATTGAAATCAGTTTATTAAAGCAATGTTCTTAATTTGAAGGGAATCACATTATGACTGCGCAAAAGATGTCTAATAATATAATATAAGCAATAATAAACAATAAAATAGAATAAAACATAATAAATAACAGTATTTCAAAATAAACATAAGTCTAACACATAATAAAAACCCACTCCACTTAATTCGTTGGAGCAGTAGGGAAACATGATTAATGATAGGACGAAATCAATGTTCAGGGTCAGAATAGATTTGAAAACAATCATAAGAGCCAAGAAGTAAACCCCACGGAACGGCTTTCCTACAAATCCTTGACGGTTATTTCTTCCTGGTGGTCCCCTTCTCATCAACCGCGGACAAGGGGAGACCTGATAAGGGCAAAAATTTTGGCTACTCATGGCTACTACGCTGATACTATTAGAATACTAAAACGCAAACGATCCGTTGCTTTTGATTTAAGACGACAGCTGATCAAAGACTGAAAAAACCCTTCCTTGCCTACTTCGAACCGATTCCTTTAATGTCAATAAAATTGTCACACTTTGAAATCATAAAAAAATCATAAACACAAAGAGAGATTTGTAACAGCACCTCGATGAATGGGAAAGAATTGACACCTACCTTGCGGGTTGGGCTAAAAACATCAATACGTAAACTTCGATAAAACAGGCAAAAAAAGCATACCTTTTTGGTAGCGCATTTTTTTGAACCTGACTGTAGGAGACACGGCGTAACTTGCCATCTAGTCTGCCATGGTAGTAAACAAACCGATAAAACTGAAAAGAAAGAATTGAGGATTCAAAATGGGAGCGAAAGAGACCATTGTGGCTATTGGTTAGAGGTTACGTAGCTGTGCGAAATTCTGTAATTATTAAAAAAAACTTTGCAACATGGCTTCTGAAATGACGACAGGAACGGCTTTGTGGAACAGCCAGCAATTAATAAGCTAAGTCAAGGTAAAAAAAACATAAGAAAAATCAGAATTTGAATTCCATGATTTTCGCGGGGTACCCGCGGTATTGGGCGTAAGCGAATCGAAACAACTTGATCTACGACTAAATTCATTGAGGTTACCAGGTATAGTTCATTGGAGAATTGTGAGATCGTGTAATGGCCTAGGCTACTTGTTAAATACGTATCGATCCGAAAATTTTGGGGGCTTCGAAATTCGGTATCTATAGTGCACGGTCAGGTCTACAAATGGACCTTTCGATCTCCGACCAGTAACTCATGTGGCTGCTTTCATAGTCTCCGCCGGCCGGGGGACTACTCGGCCTGCGGTATCATCAAGATTCACTTGTAGACAAGAGGCAAGGGGTGTATGTCGTTTGGCGCGATGGGCGGGGTCGCGCCAAACGACCGGCTCCCGAGGCAAGCGCTGCCGCCGTTGGGCGCGCGCTTGTGAACTATGAAGGCAGCCTGTGTCTTTCACCCACCTCAAGCTACTGTAAAAGGACGGGTTTTTGGTGTGAAGCTCCCAATTCACCCTCCAAATTTGAGAGCGGGCGATCGGATGCGCTGAGTGTGTCGTGTCATGGTGGTGGTAGAATCCATAACACACTTTCCTCTGTCGAGTCCTCGCTTCGCTGCTGCTTCATCATGGCCGCCGCCATCAATCTGCTATACAACGTCGCACAGGAACAATATAAAAGAGGCTGTTTCGAGACAGCCGGGTCGACTTACTCTGCTCCGCAGCCGTGGATCATCGCTCTGGCCGTATGGCCTCCTCGTCTTGACCCGTTCCCCCTGTTCTGTTTATAATGTTGTATTAGTAATATATATATATATATATATATATATATATATATATATATATATACATATATGTATATATAGGCAAGACTATTGTATCACAGAAGAACACCCGTTCCCGATACACCCTCAGATGTAGGAGTCACGAACCTATAATCTGATATGGAGGTCCCAGTGAAATTTTTTTCTCTTTTTCTATAATTTTTGGGTATAATACTAACTAAATTCTCTCTTTCCCTTATTTTTCTGTATGGTACCATATAAAACTTTACTACCCCTACACTTTCCCTCCCTATCCCTTCGTCTGTTTCGTCTGTTCAAATGGAAACAACTACATCAACATGGAATGGATTCTACAGGAAACTTCAGCAGCGATGTCAGGTAAGTCAGCACTATACATTCCGCCTTCATATTTTTAGGGTTGGAGCTACTGTGTGCATCCAGGTCACAGTATACTCCTAATTATGTGGTGATCAAGTCCAAGCGACGAGTTCCTAAGTTTATTACGGCTCATCCGCATCATAGCTCATAATGAGGTCGCCTCGAGTTGTTGCTAATTGTTAAGAACGCCATCACTTTTTTTCTAGCACCTCTATTCAGGTTCGAACGATATTGAATTATTACCAGCCATTACATACCAGGTAAGAAAAAAATGAAAAAACAAAAAATGTCGATAATGATGAAACCGTAGTGCAGGTTTCGACGGACGGCTTCAAGTAGTGTGTCCTGCTGCCGCTCCGAGTGCGTTCTAGGTCACAATATATTCATATTTATAATTAGTCACTATATCATTAAGTAAAGTTATTACTAGTCTAGGAGCTAGTCTAGTAAGATAAAAATATTGCATTTATACCTGCCGTTACTAACAAGACAATGGTCTCAGTCGCTATTTTTGACGTCTCTCCTTTCATCCGGAACCAGAAGTACCATTGCTCACTCCTACTATCTCTAGGAATGAGACTCACGTG